CCAAACCACTTTTATCGGGTAAGTCCCTACTCGAGGTTCTTCATGGAAAAGGGGTCTCATATGATCATCTTCATGTTTTTGGGTGTTTGTCTTATGCAAAAATTTTCCCGCGCCCTTCTGATAAATTTGCATCTAGGTCCCATCAATGTGTATTTCTTGGTTATCCTCATGCTATAAAAGGTTGAAAACTTTATGATTTGGATACGCATGAAATTTTCATTTCCCGAGATGTCATTTTTCATGAAAACCATTTTCCTTACATTTCGGAGCCCAGTGCTCCAAAATTCCCACTAGGACGCGATTGCACCTCAACCTTATCACAACTCAATTCCACCATTATGGAAAGCCCATTGTGCTCGATCGGGCCGACAGACCCTCCACAGACCCACAGTTCTGCCGACACCGAACGTTCTTCCGAGCCATCTTCAACCCTGTCAATCATGTCCGAACCATCCGATCTGAACACGCCGGTGCCCATATTGGCGCAACAGGCTCCTCCCGCTGCGATTGAGCCCACCACTCAGACTACCATGGCTTCACCAGAGCATCCGACTGAGCTTTCTACTCCGATGGTCGTGGCTCAACAAGAGCCCTCGATTGAGCTACCAGCGAGAGCCACTGCACCTCCCGAACCGCATCATCCTCGACGACCACCTCGCCCACGACACCCGCCTGCCCGCCTCGACGGTTATCATTGTTACTCGACTATGCCGACCCCCTCTTGTCTCGCACCTGCTTCATCGACTTCTTCAGGTACGGTCTACCCACTCGAGCATTTTGTCAATTATAATGGTTTCTCTCAGTATCACTTGGCCTTTCTAGCTGCACTTGATTCTGAGGTTGAGCCCAGGTCCTACTCAGTCGCTGTTAAGGATATTCGCTGGCGTGATGCAATGAATGCCGAAATTCGTGCTCTTGAAGACAATGGCACCTGGACCATCGAACCTCTACCTCTTGGTAAGAAACCCATTGGTTGTAAGTGGGTGTACAAGATCAAACGACACTCTGATGGTAGCATTGAGCGCTTCAAGGCCCGATTGGTGGCTAAAGGGCCTCGACTTTCGTGAGACTTTTGCTCCGGTGGCAAAAATGACGACCGTTCGGTCCCTTCTCACAGTCGCTTTGGCCAATAACTGGAGTCTTCACCAAATGGATGTGAACAACGCCTTCCTTCACAGTGATTTGGAGGAAGAGGTCTACATGCGACTTCCTCCAGAATACCATTCTTCGTCAAATTTATTATGTAGACTTTGCAAATCTCTTTATGGTTTGCGACAAGCCTCACGTAATTGGTTTGTTAAATTTTCCTCGGCGCTCCGTACTTATGGCTTTCGACAGTCACAAGATGATTAATTACTCGTTGTTCACTTTCCATTCAGGTGTTGATATCTTAGTAGTCCTCGTTTATGTTGATGACCTCATTATTGTTGGTAATAATTCGGTACGTTGCTCAAGTTTTAAATCGTATCTTGCTAGCTGTTTTAAGATCAAGGACTTGGGGGTGCTGAAGTATTTTTTGGGCATCGAGATCGTTTGTACCAGCGAGGGTATGTTTCTTTCTCAGCGAAAGTATACACTGGACATCTTATCTGATTGCGGTCTCACAGCCGCAAAGCCGACAACTTTTCCCATGGAACAGTGGCATCGACTGGCGGATTCCACCGCTCCCTTGCTATCAGACCCGACGCGGTTTCGTCGACTAATCGGTCGCCTTCTCTATCTGACCATCACGCGTCTTGAGTTGTGCTATTCAGTCCACTTACTTGCACAATTCATGCAGCAACCGAGGGAAAGCCATTGGGATGCTTCCTTACGTATTATTCGCTACCTGAAGCATAGTCTGGGCCAAGGCATTCTACTCCGACGACCGACTTCATTGGAGTTAATTGGATATTGTGACTCTGACTGGGCCAGTTGTCCCCCCACACGACGTTCCACTACAGGCTTCTTCATCACCTTTGGCAGTTGTCCAGTTTCTTGGCGCACTAAGAAGCAAACAAACGTTTCTCGCTCGTCCGCCGAAGTAGAGTATCATTCGATGACAGTCACCACAAGCGAACTTATATGGCTTCGCAGCTTACTTTCTTTGCTCGGTATCACGTTTTCTGGTCTCATTCGTCTGCTATGCGACAATCAATCGGCCCTACATATATCGGCCAATCCAGTTCACCACGAGCGCACAAAACATATTGAGATTAACTGCCATTTTGTTCGGGAACATGTTCAATCTGGTGAACTAGTTATCGAGTACGTCCCTACTTGCCTTCAGCTTGCCGACATCTTCACTAAAGCCCTCGGATGGATCGCTTTCATTTTTTACTCCGCAAGTTGAGCATTTGTGATCTTCATGCTCCAACTTCAGGGGGAGTATTCGGGATATCATTCGAGATCTACATGATCCTCTTGTGATAAGATAAAATCCTATATATTCATGGCCTTTCTTGTATATTAGGATAGTCTTGTATATTAGGTAGATTCTTGGAGAGGAAGCAACTCTTGTATTATATATATCTATACCTTTGTAACTATCGTGTAAGAAATAAAATTTACACAATTCTTATTTTTTCATAGGTGTTAATAATCAGTTTTAATTTTCATGTGGTTCATTTTTACCGAACTAAACCGATAATTTTATTTAAATAAATAGAAATATAAAATATATATTAATTTTAGAATTTTCAAGTGGTGGGATGGAGAGTCGAATAACTAATACAGAGCCTTAACGGAAGAATATTTTCGAGCAAATAGCGATAAGTGGTAACGCAATTTTTTTTTTTTTTTTTTTTTTTTTTTTTTTGTAATAAGAATAAAAGGAAATTTAAATGATATTACAACTATCTAGCCTATTTCAATCACATATTTTAGGACCGAGATTGATAATCGAGTGTAAATCAGTTTGGTTTCGGTTTAGCGTTTGGTATTATCGAAACATCCAGTCCAGTTCGGTAATTCATGTCGGTTCGATTACGGAACCGATGCTACCCCTACATAAAATTACTTAAATACCCATATCTAGACATCTTTTAATTGAATTTTATGAGCCAAACTCGAGCACAATTCGAGCCGATCACATTGACGCCCATTTCGACCATTATTTTTTTCATGGAGTTGAGCCGAACATTGAACATTGGGACTTGGGAGTATACTAATTGTTACATTTCCTTTCACATTCATTCCCTCCTTTCCCAATCCCAATCCATGCGAAATTTTTTGAAGTACTAAGTATGCTTGGATACAAAATTATCTAAAAAAAATCCAAACATTTTTAACTCAACCACTTTTTTAACTCAACTTTAACTCAACCCCACTATCATCAATATTTTACTATAATTAAATAATATCAATCAATCATTTATACACATCACATCAACCTTAATTCACTATTCACCTACTCACATAATTTAACTAACCATCACTTCAAATCATCTTTCACATACTTTTATATCAAACCAACTTTAATTA